AAGTGAGAGGGGCAGGATTTGTGTTTCTTGTGGAGAAAGCTGATTGGAAAAGGAGTGAGAGAGGGTGGACTTGTGTTTCTTAGGTAGACTTGGCGAAGGAAAAGAAGTAAAAGGGGGCGGGGTTAGTTTATCTTGGGGAGAGAGCTGACAGGAGGAGGTGTAAAAAAGGTAGGGCTTGTGTTTCTTAGGGGGAGAGCTGACAGGAGACAAAGTGAGAGGAGGCGGGGCTTGTGTTAGCGCGAGAGAGCTGATTGAAGGAGTGAAAGAAGGTGGGGCTTGAGTTTTTATAGGGAGAAAGCTGATTGTAAAAGAAGGTGGGGTTTGTGTTTCTTAAGGGAAAAGCTGATTGGAATAGGAGTGTGGGGGTGGGACCAATATTTCTTAGGGAGAAAGCTGATTGGAGGAGTGAAAGAGGATGTTGCTTGTGTTTTCTAACCAGAGAGCTGACTGGAGAAGAGAAAAGAGGAGGCGGGGCTTGTGATTCTTAGGGAGACAGCTGATTGGAGGAGGAGCGAGGGGTGTAGCTTGTGTGTGTGAGAGACCTGTTAAACACTGCTGCTGGACTTGAGCACACCTCAGCTCTTCAGTCGTCTCTCTCAGTGTGTCTCGTTCAGAAATGAGCTTCTGTAACACACACAGTACTGTCAGAGAGTGTTCAGCACAGTTCTTATCACAGTAAGTGTTGGTTTCGTACCTCTCGCTCCTTCAGCAGGGTCTCGTATTTGTCGTTGAGGTTCTTGTACTCAAACTGCCATTTTTCCGCCTTCATGGCCTCCGCTGAGTGTTTAGCGCTCATCTCATGAGCCTGAGGTGCACACACAACCGCACTCATCATTTATTTGCTTATTGGATTCGACTGAAGATGCTCTCTGAACAACTATATCATAAATTACACTCAATTTTCATTGCTGCAAACATGCATTAAAAACATTCAAGTAAATCTCACAAAAATAATCATAATCATACTTTAAATTTAGCACATGAAGTTGAAGCCAGACTTATTCATCCTCCGGTGAAACTTGTATTCCATTATGAATATTTAAGTATTTCCTTTAAAATAATATTAAACACTATTATTATCATTATAAATCATTCAGACAAATCATAAGATCACAATTTTTATTGTCAGCAATTGTTACAGAAAAAAATTAGCATTTATGTGTAAATTATGCACTAGGGCTGCACGATATTGAAAAAATCTAACATTGCGGTTATTTTTTGTTCTGCGATACACATTGCGATTTTAATACAATTTTACCAGGGGCCTCATGTATGAAGACTTGCATTGAAATCATACTAAAACATTGCACAAAGCTGTAAATGTGCGTACGCAGTAAAAAAAATCTGATGTATGAAACTGTAAATGTGCGTACGTGGAATCCCACGCATATTCTGAATTAACGTGAAATGTATGAATATGCTAATGACTCTACTTTGGCAAAACCAAACAAAGAAGCAATGGCAAAAGCAAGCAAAAAGAGAAACTTTGAACAGAATGTAAATTGGAGGTGCGCCAGGTAGACTGGAGAAAACAGGTGTTATTTGCAAGTTTGTCCTTCGGAATTAATAACAAAAGAAAAAAATAGAGTGGGGGAGTTTAGCTGACGCGGTAACGCAGCGGGGTCTCGTTGGACACCTCGTTGGAATGACCTAATACAGTGATAGTTGAGCAAACTTCAGCAGTGCGGGTGGCGTAGCTCATAAAGCGCATGACATTTTTCCCCCACTACATTTCAGATTTTGCCTACTCTTCATCATGAAGAAGACAAGTAGGAATCATTAACGAGTGTGTGCATTATGTTAAGCACATTTGAGCATCACATATTATTTGCACATTTATTGAATGGAAATGTTTCTGATTCACGTGTGCATATTCGTCTTCAGATAGCACCTTTATAGCAATCTGCGAAGTCAATCGCTCCGATTACATTGGGAAAACCGGCGATCGCTGCAAATTGCGATTTAATGTTTGGCTGGTCAACTGTATGATATGAAACCTTATATACCTGCTAGACATGCAGATGATCCCGTCCCTTACAACTGCCATTTTTCAGCTCAAAGATACTTTGTAGTGTGCAATTTAACATAATGGCCTCTAGGAGTCGCCAATGCTTAAGGTACTTCAGTGGCTTCCTATTAGTTTTAGAGTCAATTTTAAGATTCTGGTCATTACATATAGAGCTCTGCATGTACAAGCCTCCCTGTATATTCAAAATATTTTACGCAGTCACTCATGTAGCTGGTCTCTGAGGTCATCTAGCAAAGATCTTTTAGCCATTCCCAGAACTCGTCTTAAGACTAAAGGTGACCGTGCCTTTTGTGTGGTGGCCCCACGGCTCTGGAACTCTCTCCCGATAGCACTGAGAACTTTTTAAAAAGCATTTAAAGACACATCTTTTTGGTCAAGCTTTTTATTAAGAGTATTAGTGTCTCTGTATTTGGATTTTTAACTTGTTTTAATGTTTGAACATGTTTTCTTTTATTGATAATACGCCCCAAGTCTAGGGGAAAACAACATGGGCATAATAAACGGAAAAAAACAAATGTGTTGGGGTGGTGGATTTCCCAAACAAAACAAAAACTTAATGCAAAATATCTCCTCCGGTTGACAACCAAACTCAGACACTCAGTTGAAAGTAATTAAATAGATTTATTATAGAAAAAAGTAGTCATTTTAAATTAACGTGGCAAAATAACAAACAGAAGAATCTATAAAGTAAATGAACTAAATTCATTCATTCATTCATTCATTCATTTTCTTGTTGGCTTAGTTCATTTATAAATCCGGGGTTGCCACAGCGGAATGAACCGCCAACTTATCCAGCAAGTTTTTACGCAGCGGATACCCTTCCAGCCGCAACCAATCTCTGGGGAATGAACTAAATTACCTATAAATATTTAAAGAAAAATACAGGAAGCTTACCTTCCTCCCTAAACATAAACATAGTCAAAAGTAATCAAATAAATAGGCAGGCCACCCCTACAAGCTCAAAAGAAGTTTGAACTTATGAACAATGGTAACAAGATGATTGAATGTTGGTCGTCGGCTGGAGGAGTAAGGGAAATCCAGAAACTCTACTCCCAGCAACCTTCGCAGCACAAATGAGCTCTCCAAACCCTTTTTAAACAGGTCTTCGAGACCAGCAGCCAATCAGAGCAGGAATCACGCCGGAATGGGAGCCTATGAGATAATATTATTTGTTCTCAGGTGTAATATTTTGGCAGTATTATTCTGTTACCTTTTATAATTGTCTTTAATTATGTTACCGTGTTGTACAAGGTTTGTCCTTGTTTACCAAATTGCTTGATGTAATCTTTATTTCTTATCCTGTATGTCTTTATTTCTTATTGTGTGTATAATTACCATTGTAGTTTAATAAATCTGATAATCAAAGACACGTGTCAGTGTATAATAACTTATTTTAATTTACATGTATATGATTAAATGTGTACATTTTCTTAAATCAAAAATGTAGATTCATAATATTAATATAATATTAATTAAATCATTTTATTGTTAATGTAGAGTGAAACTGATGAATCCATGGTGAGGTAAGTTACGTTATAAAGTACACTGCCGTTCCATTTGAAGAAGTCTCCTCGCGTCCTCGGGAGTTCGTTCTTCCAAGTCTGAACTTGGCAAGTCTGAACTTCCAAGAACGCAACTCCGAACTTTGCGTACTTGGTATTGAGAAACAGCCAGAGAGAGAGAGAGCGCAAAAGAGCAATCGAAATGATACATTTTTGTCCAAAAGTAATGATTGATGACCAACTAAACTTCTCTGACCACATCTCTAGAACTGCTTGATCGTGCAGATTCGCACTCTATAACATCAGAAAGATCCGACCCTTCTTATCTGAACATGCAGCTCAACTCCTTGTTCAAGCTCTTGTTCTTTCCAAACTGGATTACTGCAACTCTCTACTAGCTGGGCTTCCAGCTAATTTTATCAAGCCTCTTCAGCTGCTCCAGAATGCAGCAGCACGAGTGGTCTTCAATGAACCTAAACGAGCACATGTCACTCCGCTGCTCATCCGTTTGCACTGGCTGCCAGTTGCTGCCCGCATCAAATTCAAAGCTCTGATGTTTGCCTACAAAGTGACTTCTGGCCTTGCTCCTTCTTACCTGCTCTCACTTCTGCAGATCTATGTGCCCTCCAGAAACTTGCGTTCTGTGAATGAACGTCGCCTCGTGGTTCCATCCCAAAGAGGGAAGAAATCACTTTCGCGAACTCTCGCGTTCAATCTGCCCAGTTGGTGGAATAAACTACCTAAATGCATCAGAACAGCAGAGTCACTCGCTGTCTTCAAGAAACGACTAAAAACTCAACTATTTAGTCTTCACTTCACTTCCTAATCTGCAATTGCCTCTCTGAATATCACACTATCTGTACAAAAAAAAAAAAAAAAAAAACGTCCCTTCTTAGACTTTACAGACCTGAAAATTGCTTTAAATTCACTTATTCATTGTTGCTCTTAGTTGTGTAAATTGCTTCCTTGTCCTCATTTGTAAGTCGCTTTGGATAAAAGCGTCTGCTAAATGACTAAATGTAAATGTAAAATGTAAAATGTGTCAGTCAGGTGATATTGATGTGAACAGCTGAAGCTGTCAAAATATTTGTAGTTAATTCATTATTAATGATGATGTTTAAAAATAATACGATTTATTTTATTCAATAATGCACTTAAAACATGTAATAGGTCTACATTAATGCAAAACGAGCTAAATATCGTCTTTAAAATCGTCATAGGTTTCAGCTCTCGGCGATATCTTTGCCTGTCATCGATACACGATACTCTCGTCTATCGGCACAACCCTAGATGTAGCAGTTGAACAGAGCGGGATGATCATGAGGATTTGCTGACTGATGGTGTTTAAGTCTGACCTGTCTCTTGTAGGAGTCGAGCTGCGAGCGGATGGCGGTGGCTCTGCGCTGCTCCTCCTCCAGTTCGCAGGTGCGCTGCATGTAGACGTGGTTCCTCTCCTCCAGCAGACGCACCTGGCGCCGCAGGTCTCCCAGATCCTCCAGCTTACGCTTGTACGTCTCCACCATCGCCTCCAGACGGCTCACACGGTCAGAAGAGTGCCTGAAAACACACACACGTCAGCCCGACACCTGAGAGCGTGAGCATGTGTGTGTGTGTGTGTGTGTGTGTGTGTGTGTGAAACTATATGTGTATGTTTGTTTGTGTGTATTTGTGCGAGAATGATGTTTGTGGCGGTGCGTTTGTGTGAAACTACGCGTGTGTGTGACCTCAGGATGTCCATCTCGTCTTTGAGGGCCTGGGCCTCCTGAGCGAGGCTGGTCAGATCTTCGTTTCTGATCTGCAGGTCCATCACCTCTCGCTCCAGAACTTCAGCTCGCACACGCAGATCATCTCGACTGTTCTCCAGCCTCAACACACACACACACACATATACACACCTCAGTCGAGCTGAAACACTACATCAAACATTTGTAATGTGACATTATTATTAGAAATACATTTAAATACAACAACAATAACAATAATAATAATAATAGTTATAATACTACATTAATTAATATAATAATGATAATAACAGTAATGAAGATAATAATAATGATAATACATTTTTATTAATATAATAACAACAACAACAACATTAATAAATTATGATTAACATAATAATAATAATAATAATAACAATAACAATATTAATAATTATTATTATTATATTAATAATAATCATTATTAATAACAACAACAACAAAAATGATAATAATATTTTAAAAATATTAATAGAATAATTATATTGATAATAATAAATAATTAAATATAATAAAAATAATAAAATATAATAAAAATAACAATAATAATTATAATATTATTATTGTTAGTTATTAATTATTCATCATCATCATCATTCATTATTGTTATTATTATTATTATTACTATTATATTACTAATAATGTAATATTATTATTATTATTATTATATTAATATTTTATTATTATAATTAATTTATTATTATTAGAGGTATATTTAAATATATTTAATTATTTGTTATACAGAAATTGAATTAATATCAAACTAATGAAACATCATTAATTGCATGTAAATTATTTGTATTCATTTTTAATTATTTATATTATTCAACATTATTATTTATTTTTAATATTAATTAGCTAATGTAACATTGTCTTCATTTAAAATAATTGAGCCAGAAGCCAATTAATATTTGTAATTAATTATATAAAAATAACCTTATTATATAAAAGCAAAAACATTATCGAAATATGCAAATAATATCACATTAAATGTAATCCAAAAATATAATTTATATTACATACAGATATATAATTACCTTAGTTTAAAACAATACAGACAGAAAGCAAATGATTGCAATCGACTTTAGTTAATAATAATAATAATAATAATAATAATACAGTAATAAATGTAATGATACTAAATAATGAAACAATCACCAAAAGTATACTATACTTTGTTTTGCCATAATATATTTTTTAATTCCAGTTTAATTGTTATAGGTAATTAATCATTGATGTATTATTAATATTACAGATATAATAAATATATTGTAATAATTTACAGAAATAAATGTATCATGTACCTAATATTAAAATAGTGCTATTAATAATTTAAAATACTATTAAAATATTACATTTAATATTAAAGATATTTAATACAGACGAAGTACATATTAATAATAATAATAAATGTAATGATACTATTAAAACAATATCACCTAAAACATACTACATTTTGTTTTGCCATATTTAAATATTTTTAATTGCATTAGTTCTTGAATTGTTTTAGTTAACTATTATTTTTTAATTCATGATATTACAGAAACAATGAATATATATATATATATATATATATATATATATATATATATATATATATATATATATATATATATATATATATATATATATATATATATATATTGTAATGCATTACAGAAATAAATACATCACATAACTTATATTAATATACTGCTATTAATAACTAAAAATACTGCTAAAATATTTATTATATTTAATATTAAAGATTTAATAGAGATAAAAAAACGAATATTCGTATTAATAATAATAATAATAATAATAATAATAATAATAATAAAACTATTATTATTAATACTATGATTATTATTATTAGTATTATTATTATTAATATTAATAATAATAATATTAATAATAATATTAATATAATAATATAATAATACTAATAATAATAAAAATAATAAATGTAATTTAATGAAGGATAAAAATTTATATTTCTCTTATGAATTTCATACTATTAAAATGATATCACCTAATTTAAAGTTATAAAATATAATTATTATATATATTACACAAAAAATACAAAACTCCATTAGGCTGAAAAAGAATAATTATTTAATTTGCAATATTACAGAAACAACGCTAATACCTCATATCACCAATATCAATATAGTACTATTAAATATGTTTTTAAAATACTGAAAATATTACATTTATTATTCATATTTCATACAAACAATAAATGTATACAATACATTTGCATTAATTTTATTTTATTTTTATTCTATGCATTAATTTTACTAATTTTATCCTTCCTATAGTCTTGAAATATACTACCTGAATGAAAGCACACCTTTTACCCATAGCATATAAATAGTTAACTACATGTGACTTTCAGCAATATTTTTATTTATTATGACACTGTTATACACTAGTTTTTTTTTTTTTTTTTTAATGGGTTAAAGTTTTAACCCAGGTAAAGTCTATGACTGGGAAACACTGTATACTATTACAGCTATTATGAATACAGTATTAGACAGAAGTATGAGACATGAAAAGCTGAGCTGTGAAAGGCTGTAGGCCCTGTGGTGGGGCTGCGTGAGGAGGCTCACACCTGTAGTTCTCCTCCTGCAGTTGCTCCATCTGACTCTGCAGCAGCAGCAGCTTCTTGTTGGTGATGGTGGAGGAGACGTCGGACGGCTCGCAGTGAGACACTCGCTCCCGCAGAGACTGAACCTCCACCTGCAGACACGACTTCTCCTCCATCAGGACGGACAGCTGAAACAAACACAAGTAAATATAAGCATTCAAATGTATCATACATACAGACTTTTTTCCATCTTTTACTTAGAAAAGAACACTATATATTATGTATAAATACAGGGCTTGACATTAACGTTTTTGATCACCAGCCACTGTGGCTAGTAGATTTCCAACAACACTTTTCACTAGCCACAATTTCGTTGTGTGGGAAAAATATTTTATATGCATAAATTTGACTGACATGCTAAAATTATGTAATTTAGATGAAGGGCTCTATCATACACCCGGCGCAATGTTTCGCAAGGCGCAGTGCAATAGTCTTTTGGTAGTTTCAGCTTGGCGCAAGAGTGGTTTTGAGGCGTTGCGTTACGCTGTTTAAATAGCAAATGCATTAGCACTCATATGTGCGCCCATAGGCGTTCTGGTCTAAAAAGGAAGGCGTTCTGAGGCGGACCGCTGGCGCGTTGCTATTTTGAGAAACTATAATATATTTTTCATTAGACCAAAACAAACCCGGTCTAAACTCCGGCGCAGAGTTGCGCCTCACTTACACACTGCTTAATACGCACAAGAGAGCAATAGGCAAATATCTTTACATATGAAAAAAATTAAATATTAAGGATATATATAGGATATAATAAGAATATATATAGGATATAAATATAAAGGATTAAAATATTACAAAACATTATTTTCTAGCCTACATAAATATGAAAAACCACTGCTTTTATGTCTTCTTCATCTCGGGAGGCTTTTTCAGTTCATTCATAACAATTTGCTTTTGTATAATGTTATTATTATTAGCAGTATTATTTATTATATCCATATTTATATTTGTTTTATTAAAAACAAGCTTAGATTTGCCCACCTGTCAGGTTTTAGACCATATGGGGCACAGCATGTGTTTTAGGATATAACTCAGGTTTGAGCACATTTTGTTATTATTGTTCATTTATTCGTTTGCTGGAAATTAGAACTGAATTTAGAAATAGTTTTGAAACGAATATTTGCGCTTAACAAACGCAATGAATTATTTATAGGCTCATTGATGTCTGTGCGTAAAGGTTTCCCTATCCAAGAGCGAAAGTGAAAGTAGATCCATTGTCTCTCATTCTCACGTAGTAGATGCTCTGTTTAACTGTGTTCTGTTAAAAGAACTGTGAACTGTTTGTTAGTGAAATGCTCATTTTTTCCACTTAGACTTACTTTGCGTCCTGTAAATAGTGAATGCGCTCTTGGCGCAACGCAGCTGGGTCTTAAAGGGAATGGGAGATGAGAATCTAATGGGTTTATTCTCAAAACACACCTATAACTCATTAAGAAAATAAACTCAACCCTTTTAGACTGCGCCACGGCGCAAAGCGGATTTTCCCGTCCTTAAATTAGCAAAAGTGTGTTCTGACAAGCCCTGAAAGGGTTTGTGCCCTGCGTTTTGCGCTCTGCGCATGGACCGTCAAAATAGAGCCCATTGTGTTGTCCACATGCCTACTCAAGTTTTGTGTGTGTTGTGTATGAGCTTGCTCATTGTGCATGAGCAAATGGGTTGTGCCGCAATGCAATTAGTTTTTACTTCACATGACTTTTTAGGGCTCAAAATTTGGAATTTACCAAATTTATCTCTGACCACACCAAAAAGAAATAATTATTTATTTGCCACAAATTTTAAATGTGTCAAAACAAGCAAATATATCGCAGCATACATGCACTTTTTATTCAACTAAACTTTTTTTTTTAATTGAAGTTTAAAAAGATCTATTGTCATGTATCTAAAATATGCACCGTAATCTGTCCTGACTAAAAGTCCCAGATCAGCAGCTACTACACAAAAATGGGGAGTTGATCTCATATTAAAGCAATGTTATCGTAAAGGATGATAATTAAACTATATTAACAAAAATAACTGCAAGTAAAGAAAGCAGGTAAAACATACCGTGTGCGATATTAAAAGGATGATCATGTGCACACAA